AAAAAAAAAAAATGTTAATACAAATTGAATATAATAAGTAATAGTTGTATGGTTGTTTTATATCTTATTTTATTAATGTATATCAAATTAACCTGAACATGATGAAACAATAGTTTATAAGATTGCAGAAAAAGTTTTTGTTCACTTTGAAAGTTTTTTTTTTTATTATAAATATTATAATATATGAAATGTGTATTCTTTTTAATACAATCTTATTATTTTGACTAGTTACTATCGATTCTGCTATTCACGCTGGAAAAACTTTAAAGCGTCAAATGATTATAGGATCGGGAAGTTCATCGAGTGCTTCAAATCCTATGTCGTTCTCCGATATTACAAATGGTACTGCATTTATATTCCAGTTTATATATATTGATAAATATTTTTTGAATTTATATTTTATGATATTTTAATGTGTAATTTTATATTATTATTTAAATATACAGGTCAGTCTAACTTTGTTGAAAGAAGCTTGAATAATTCCAATATTCATGGCTCGAATAGCATCGTCATAGACATTTTGATGTAGGGAAAGCGTACGAATGAGAAGATAAAAGAGATAGTCTCTCTCGATAAACCACACAAGAACAGATATTTTAATTCATCAATCAACTGCTCAATAACAAAGCATAAGAACTTTTAAATAAAGCCCCTAAATTAAACCCTAGCTTATTCTTCAAGCTACTAATTATCAAATAATAATAATAATAATAATAATAATAATAATAATAATAATAATAATAATAATAATAATAATAATAATAATAATAATAACTATTATTCTGCACCATTCTCCCCCGGTTGAGCAAGATTCGGCACGAATCCGACTCGTTCCCATTGGAGTCGTCCCCATGACAAGGATACCCCCGATATTTTCCTCGATCGAACAAAAATGTTGAAGATCTTCCCACAACCTCGAACATAAACATAATCTCGGTCAAGAACTGAACTGCTGCAATGCCAGCACGAAACGGGCTCATCCATTGACCAAATTCGAGTCCAAAATCCCTCTGCACAAGCCCAATTTTCATAGATACTTCACATGACAAAAAATTTTGATTAAATGCATCCCTCACTTGGGACCAATAAAGAAATTGGGCCGTCCCTGCACAGGCCCAAGAAGAAAAAAAATCTCGACCTCTTATGTTACTCTTCTCATCGTCTTTTCTCTGCTCTTCGCCCAAGTCGCGATACCAGACATCTCGCTTCCAATCTCGTCGCTGCACCTTCGCCCCTCCTCCGTGAAATCTGAAAAATTGAGCACCCTCAGGCCCAACCTCAGTCCATCTGCCTTGTTGCTCAGCGCGGCCGCCGTCACCGGCGAAACTTGCAGCAGCACGGCGCCGATCTCCCTCCCAGGTTGCACAACGGCCGCCGTCTTCTCTCCTCAGATCGCGAGCTTGAAAGTCGCCAGAAAAACCCTCAAAAGCCGCCGCCGGGCGCTTGGAATCGCGCGGCCACGGCTCATCAAACCAGTAGCCCCCAAAAGGTGTGCGACCTGGCGGAATGCCTAAATCGGCAACATTACCCTGCCAGTCGCGGGGCCAACAACCGGGCTAACCGCCGTCGCCGAAGTCAACGGCTGGATGCCGGTCCTCACGGTCGCAGCGCATCTCGAAATCGACCCCAGCCGGCCGCTATTCGTGAAAATGGGCCGCCTCTAGGGTTTCGCCCTCCTGTTGGTCGTCTCCCAGCGCAAATCCGGTGTCTGATCGTCGGTGGTCGCTGAATTGGTCCCCGCCCAGGGCCTGTTCTTCCTCACGAGTGACGGAGATGTCACTGTGGGGTTGGTTGCGAAAGTGAACAGGTACGTGACCATCATCACGTCTCGGTTGACGGTCGCCAAAAGGATTGACCGACCAAGTGGAAACGTAGTCGTTGCTGCCGTTCAGAGGTGGCGGGGACCGCTGTCGGGGCGCCCCAACATGGCCGAGTCCTCCACATCCGCCTCTGTTTTCCCCGCGATAGTCACGGCCTCCATCGTGGTCCGTCTGCAATTCCGTAACAATCACGTTGTTCGGCGTCAAACACACATCCTCGATCCCCGTCGAAAGATCGACAAACAAATTTGTGAAATGCACGTCTAACTGTTCATATCGGTAGTCGATCTGTTGAAACCGATCGTTGAAGGTTGCATCACTTCGTTTGTTTGCGGCATCTTGTCGTCCAGGCAGCATCACGATCGTACTGACTGCTGATACCAACTGATGTAGGGAAAGCGTACGAATAGGAAGATAAAAGAGATACTCTCTCTTGATAAACCACACAAGAATAGATATTTTAATTCATCAATCAACTGCTCAATAACAAAGCATAAGACCCTTTAAATAAAGCCCCTAAATTAAATCCTAGCTTATTCTTCAAGCTACTAATTATTAAATAATAATAATAATAATAATAATAATAATATTAATAATAATAATAATAATAATAATAATAATAATAATAATAATAATAATAATAATAATAATAATAATAATAATAATAATAATAATAATAATAACTATTATTCTGCACCACATTTTAAGTGACGACGAAAAGGAGAATACAATTGTTACTCCTCCAATCCCGATTTCATCGTCTAAGCGGTCTAGATCATCTGTTGTCCCAAATGCGAGTGTTGTTATCGATTTAACTGAAGATGATCCCGTTCAACCCACTGTTGAAAAAGAAAGTGTGGTCGTCCTAGAAAGAATCTTGCATCAACCTCGAGATTATCTGGTTATTTATTCTTAAAATCAATATGATGTTATGTATTATTGTATTATTATGATCTGATATCTACTATTATGATCAATATGATGTTAAATTTAACTTATTTTATATTTGTAGAGTACTGGGACATGAGAGATGCAATCTACTGTTGTAAGTATTGCGGAGCAAAGTTTGGTACGAGGAAAGAAAAGATCATCTTCTGAAGCCAGTTTATCCGGATTATTCTGGTTGTTGTCTTAATGGATTAGTAGAGCTTCCTTCTGTAAGAGATCCTCCTCAATTTTTGAATGAATTGCTTTATGGAGATGGCCACATGAGTAAACATTTTCAAGAAAATATAAGATCTTACAACAGCATGTTTGGATTCACTTCAATGAGCGGTAAAATTGATGCGGATATCAATAAGGCATTAGGACCTCCTATGTTTTCTTTGCACGGACAGAATTATCATCTGATTAGAAGTTTGTTGCCGACTGAAGGTTCTACTCCAAAGTCTGCTCAATTGTACATATACGATACAGAAAATGAAGTTTCATACAGAATTAATGCTTTGAGGTATATTATTTGTCTATTTATGTATTTCTACACATTTATGTGCCTTTTATTATGTCCATCAGGTATATATTGTATAAATATATTATATATCTTATATGAAATGTTTAAAATTAATTTTTATTATTTTTGTTGAGTGACTGTTGTATTTTATTTATGCGGTAGGAAAGAATATGATGAAAATTGGAACCCCGTCATGTTGTTGCGGAATATGGATCACTCTATGAGTTTATTTAACGGGACACGGTTTGTTTGTGACAAAACTATCCGCACATGTTCTTGAGTGTAAGATACTCACTGGGGATCATGAAGGCGAGAAGGTGTTGATTCCTAGAATGACTATAATTCCTTCAGATGTCAGAATTCCTTTCAAGTTCCAGAGGCGACAATTTCCCGTTATGGTTTCGTATGCCATGACTATCAACAAGAGACAGGGACAATCGCTATCGCATGTTGGGTTATTACTTAAGAAGCCGGTGTTAAGTCATGGCCAATTATATATTGCTGCCTCCCGTGTCACCAATCGAATTGAGTTGAAGATATTAGTCTGTAATGACGATGACTTGCCACCAAATCAGACCCAAAACGTTGTGTACAAATAAGTGTTTACTAATTTATAAAGTTTTAAATTTGTTTTTTTCCATTTTATATATGTTACGTATCCACAAAGTGAATTAAATTTAATGTTGATATTATAAAAAGCCTAAATAATTTACAATTTTGTGCATCGCACGGGTCAGAACTAGTTCAAATCTCAATCAAAGAAAAATAAAATAAAAATCCTTGAAAATAAAAGGGGAGAAAAAAAACCCTAATCCCGTCTATTCAGTTTCATTTTTCATCCTCGTATGCATCTCTCTTGCTATAAATACATCCTCGTGCAACCCAACGATTTTTTTCTCTATATATTTCTTCTCGAATTTTCTGTCTGTTTGACACTAAATCTAATCGTCAATTTTCGAGCATACAAGGAATTGAACACAGAGGCGCTCTGTATTGTCGCCGATCTTATCGATCTATTACAGGTGAATTATTGCTGTCCTAATTCCTTTTTTTTTTCTTTTTTTTTTTTGTGATAGATCGCCTTGCTATAATTGGGGCGGCGTTCTGCTTGTTCATAATCGTATTGATTATAATTTTTGTTTGTTCAGTGTCTTGATAATCTTAATTTAGCTAGGGGCACTTGAAAGTCTTCTTCTGTTTTTCTTTTTTTCGGTGATCTGTTTGGGGCTTGGTACGGAGATTTATTTTGCTATGATTTCTCGATTGGTGCGCCGAGTTTCTGATTGACTGATTTGTCATCTTGTGATGCCTTAATTTTTCGTTCTGA